ATCCTTATTTAGGCACTTTTAAAAATCTTTTTATTTATCTAAAAGAGATTTACTTGAGTAAAATGGTTACATCAAATTAAAAAAACGGATAAAAGAACAACAACATTCATAATTTTAGTTATTTTTACTCTGTGTGAAATGGTAAACAATATAAATAAAACCACAAATTATATGAAATACAAATCAAACTAAATAAGAGTGTTTACATGGTCGTCATTATAAAAAAGAATAATATTTTAGAGTTCACAAGTATTTTATGTGATTAAGATATTTAAAAAATGAATACTAAAGAATTAATTAGATAGTTTAAATTAAGTCTTGATAAATTTCCAACAGTTACTGAAGTATAAAAACATATTCAGGACTATTCGACTACGGTAAATTGCTCAGGGGCCGGACATCCAGAAGTTATTGTCATTAATTTTGTTTTACAGTTTAAAATCTACTTTTATTTAAAAACGAACCCACTGGTGGGCCGAACTGAGCTCACCTGTGGGCCTGATTTGGCCCCTGGCCCGCCAGTTGAACAGCCCTGACTGTTTTTAAACGCTGTGTTTTTATTTTTTAGATAAATGAGTCCTCTGAGCAGCTAAAACTAAATTTAAAAAGCCACATTAAAATAAAACAAGTAAAATAAAATTAAAAATAAAACCAAAGGGCTGGCGTGATCTTTAAAATGCGATAGGACAGAATTAAAGCCTGTTTTGGTCAAACCTAAACGCCGTAAGGCCTGATGCCACGGAATATTGCTGACTCAGCAGTCACACGATTAAAGAGCGCACATTTGTAAGCGTGTGAAACCTGCAGGACACCGTCAGTGTCCAGCAGATGAAAAGTTGTGCTCAGCAGAGATGATTTCCTCTGCAGCGTTCTGCCGGCTCAGTGTTAGCTGTCAGCTGGCTGTCACGGCGAGCAGAAGTTGATTTGACTCCACGTTTCCCGTCCTTCTGTTCTTCTCTAACTGGACACCCCGCTGCGACGACACACGCGTCCCACCGGGCTGACGTACCGCGCAAACTCTGCAGCGTCTGCACATCCTTACACATCCCTGACAGGATGCTGAATCCGGCACAGATGTGCTGCTTTCTCAGGAAGACGTTCAGCTCCGTGGTTTTTGTTGTTGCTGCGTTTCAACACCTCGACACCAAACGCTGATGGAGGAAGAGCTCCCATCAATGGATCTCCAACCCTGCTGGAGGAGAACTCCTGATTTCTGCTGCACCATAAATGTTGCAGAATCTTGAAAAAGTCTTTGTATTCAGTTCTATCCTCTGTTTTTGTCCTTTTAAAGACATTTACCGTATTTTCCGCCGTACAAGTCGCACCGCCCTATAAGTCGCATCAGTCCATATTTGTCTAATAAAGTGGAAAAATCCATAAATATGTCACTTCGCCGTATAAGTCGCATCTATTATGCGTCACCGCTGATGCATCGCGTTTGTTACGCGCCACCGCTGACAACACGGAAATATGTGCCGGTGTTGTGCCAAAAATCAATGGGCTGCCAAATAACAAGAATTAACAAGATTAACACATAAAACCAATTATATATTTGGTTGGAACTATAGCAAAGGTCTCAGTCTAACGTTTGCTTAATAAATGCGCTTTAATGGCCAAATTAGCTGCATTTCACCGGGGCGGTGCAGATGGTTTAACTTGCTCCAAGCAGCGAACAGAACAACGGTGGGGGTAATATGGCAGGCCGACTGTGTCATTAATAGCTGGTGAAGATTCTCAGTCACCCAGGACATGGTAACTTCAAAGAAGTTCAAGAAAAAAACAAAGTATAAAGTACAAAAAGTCCAGTTGTTTTTGTCTTGAACTTTTTTGAATTTGTCATTATAGCCACGTTTACCTATTACATGATACAACGGCATGCCTTACTAATACTACTCAGCTGCCATCTAGTGGCTGAAAGTGGTATTGCTCAATTTTTTTTCAGTCAGAATGAATGAAAACTGTCATATCTCAGCCAAAAATTGGTTTATAAATATGGGAAAAAAATCCATAAATACGTCGCAGGGCATGCAAATTATGCAAAAAAAACTGAGACTTATAGGCTGAAAAATAAGGTAAACTTTAAAATATGAATCTTCCATGTTGTAAAAATAGCCTTCCAGCAACTTCAAAGTAGATTTTCCAACACGGTCTCCTCAGGTGCACATCCTTTACAGTCATAGTGAAGACTGTGCAAAGTCAGCAGCAGGAGGAGTGAGGAGCTGAGGGAGCAGACGAAGGTATAAGGAGGATTTTACCAAAGAAAAAATAATTTCCCTCTTTCTGGACCAGAATAGATTTAGTCATTAAAAAAAAAAAAAAACGAAATGCCATTTTTACAGCAGTTAGGCTGCAGGCAAACAGCTGACAGAAGGTCAGAGAATTTCTGCACCCATGTCGTTTTCTCCCAGCGTGTCTGAGATTGGTTTGCACGAGTTCAGATGGAAATGGTGTCGAGGAAAGTCAGCGCTCATGATACGCTCGAGCCACATCCTGTGACGCAGGAGAGTCCAGGTCACTTCGCTCCCTTCAGATGTCCTGTCTGCGTTTTTACAAACAAAACAAAAAACGCCGTTGTGGCAGCAACTTACAGCGACTCAAGGTGGGAACAGCGTCTGAGAACGCATGGACTGATGTGAAAGGAAAAACCAACAGAATATTCAGGTAAAACGAGGAGATGGAAAAAGCTGAGTCAGATGAGACGGGGTGCAGGTGAGTGGGCATGGCGGGCAATAACACCAAGAAATACAAAAAAACACAAGTGTGACACAACATATTGTCTAATATTAAACTTAAAAAAACCCTACTAAAGTAAACAACAAAAAAACATGGATCCTGACAATAGATTGGTGTATTTTGATCAAAAGATTATAAAAAGACTCTAAATAAAAGTTGTTTTTCTGTGAATGTGCACCAAGTATACCTTTATTTCAGGTGTAGTTTAGCCGGCTAACACACACAAGCTCATCTCTCGTTCCTCAGGTCTGATGGCAGGACAGCCGAGAAGAACCAGAGCTCGTGTCTCGCGTGGTTTGGACTCGCTGACCAGCGTTTCTGCCTCCAGACGTTTGTGGAGGTTCTCATTTCTCATGTGAGCTGCAGAGGCATGCAGTCCTGCTGCTCGAGTTTTTAACATGTTCAAAAACGCGCAACATTTATTTAAAATAGCCCCAAACAGGTGATTTTCAAAACTGGTTGCTCAAAACAGCTGCACAGCTCGTTTGTCATTAAAAAAAAAAACATTATTTAATGAGACTACGGTGGAAAATGTATGTATTTTCTGCCAATTTTCTCCCAATTATATAAATATTTTCACCAAGTTTCCCATTTAGTGGCAGAGATGGGCCAACAAGTCGCCGTTCCACTCCCAGCCATTCCCACATGTTGTGGTGTCTCTGAGCAAGACACCCAATCCCTAATTACTCCCCGGGTACTTACGTAGCTGCCCACTGCTCCACCTGGGTGCATCTCAGGTGTGATGGGTTAAAAGCAGAGAACTAATTTTGCCATTCTATGGGGACATACAAAGACAAGCTCAAACTTCACTTCCCCCATCCATCCCAGCTCAGAAACATTTAGTTTCTGTGAGTGAGAAAGCGAGACAACCATGGGAGGGTTTGGCAACCAGTAATACTACATAGCGAGCAACCGGAGAAAAATAAAAGGTAATAAATTAAGACGTAATTGAGACACTGTGTTTAAATCAGGATAAATCTGCCCATTGTTAGCAGGACTGTCACAGCACTGTTGCATTATTTTACATTTACGCATGTTAAGAAACGTGTCGCACCAAAGTGAAAATCAATTTTCTCCAACTAACTGGCAACACTCAGCCCAGTGAGAACCCTCAGACTTTGACAAATACCATCATCCATCCATTATCTTTACCTGCTTCCTTTTATCTTCTACCAAACTACATATTTGTCCTATAGAACAGTGGTCCCCAACCTTCATTGCGCCACGGACCGGTTTGATGTCAGACGGACTGGGTGGGGGCGTGGTCTGGGGGTCCCCCCAAACAGAATTTTGAATAAAGCAGATGCTATTTCCTGCATTCTGGTGCATTTTTCAAAACATTTCAAACATTTTTCGCTTTAAATACTGCACGACAAAAACAGCTTCATGAGCTGAGATCATCGTCTGTTTTATCAGTTTGGTGAAAGTTCAGAGAACTCCTGCAGTGATTCGCATCAGATTTTCACTAAATTCAATTCAATTCAATTCAAAAATACTTTATTAATCCCAGAGGGAAATTATTTGTTGTTGTAACTCGTTATCCTCTTTTCATTAAGAGATGTTATAGATGCTGATGGCTGTAGACAGGAAGGATCTCTTGTTAAGGTCCATCCCACAGTGGATCCTAAGAAACTGGCTGCAGATGCCGGTCGATCCGTCCACCCAGACTCGGCTGGCCTCTCGGTTCCTCCGGGCTGTAGGACCACCCGAATGCCGGGTAGAACATCTCCCAGAGCGATGGCCACTCCTCCCAGCAGTTTGCCGAGCTCCTTGTTGCTGTGGACAGCCAACTGTAGGTGCTGAGGGACGATCCTGTTCTTCCGCTGTCATGAGCCGTGTTTCCTGCTAGTTCCAGGATCTCAGTGGTCAGGCACTTGAGCGCAGCTGGCAGGTAGATGAGAATGCGTCCACAGAACATCATTTTCAACTCATTTGAGATTTGGGGCTGTATTTGAGATATTATTTGAGCTTTTGAGATGTTATTCAGCTGTTCCTGGTTGTAAAAAACAGCCTTGTTGCCATGGTTACGCATCATAACAAATGTTCAAAACTAAAAAAGTTTCAGTAAAAATCCTTCCAGCTGCACAGCATCCGACACCAGAGGAAACAATCATCCAAAAAATGTGATTTACATCCAGAAAAAGAGGAATTAAAGTTTCCAAAAGCAAAATCTCAGAATGAAATTAACAGAGATGCTCCAACATGCAGCCACCTTGAGCGGCGCAATTCTAGAAAAGCACAGGAACTTATGCCCAGTGCAAAACGTTTAATTATATTTTTGTTTTTTATAATAAAATTACCCATGACTTCGACCTTCTAGGGGCAGAGATTGTTTTTGAGCAGAAGCAAAAATGTGAAGCGACAGCTCTGATGTGATGTTAGGAAGCTTGTTAAAATTATAGTTTTATTTAGTTAAAGTTCTATAGTCAATCTTTGTCAGGTGGGTTGAAAATACGCAGTGTAATCCTTCAAAATGCACAGATACGGCTGCGCACCTCCACCCGTCTGCTCCAGACCACGTATCTGAATTGCTTTGTTCTTCACCAGCAGTGTAGAACTGGTCTGCACATGCACCGAGCAGCAACTGAAACTAACCACTTGTGTGCGTTGACCTGCGTCAAACCACTGCTATAGAACATATATTGAGCCGATCTCTAACATATTTTTTCGATGCCTTTCCTAACAGGGCTCGTGAGAGTGAACCTCTCACCTTGCACAAACGATCCTACGTATCAGCTGAGCCCGGCGCTCGTGCTCTGTTTGTCAATCTCGTCATCCGATCTCTAAAAGTTCACTTTCATCTCGCGGGAGAAGGCGCCGCCAGTCTCCTTTTCAGCTCTACAGCCGAGCGATAAACGTCAAAAAGCAGAGTAAACATCATTCACAACACCCCCTCCCCAGGATGGTTTAATACCCCGAGGCGCCTCATCACCCCTGAGATGGAGCTGATCAACACGGGGGTTCATTCTGACCATGTCAAGTTAAAAAATGTAAAGAACAGAGGAGGCAAGAACGATAATTCTAAAAGGCCAGCCGTCCTCCTCCTCCTCCTCCTGCTCCTGCTGGACATGAAGGTGAAAACCGAGGTTGATAACGGATCTCAGTCGCTGCTGGAATACCAACAGGCCGAGTAGATTACCACTCGTGCTGCAGAGCCGTTTTCATTCGCCCCTGAGCAACAAAAGCACGACGGAGGAAGCTACAGGCTGAAAGCTGTGTCGGCTGCAAGAGGCTGAAACTGAGAGCCACGAACAGGACGTCTCAGCGATGAAAAAAAACCAAGGTAAAAACGCTCAACGTTTACAAAATAAGAAGAAACTAAAGCGAGACGTGAAGGACTCTAAAATGTACGAAGCAGAAAGTGTTTCGGACAAATTGTTCAATTCAAAGGTATTTTTAATAAAGTTTTCCCTGAATTGTTTCAGCACAAAAAAAAAAAAAAAAAACTGTCCAGATGACCTGACTGAACAATGTTGGATTGTATACCTGGATTATTGAGCATGGACTTTGTTGTTTTCAACCAGTTTGACACAACTGTCAACAAGGAAGAGGGCCGGCAATGGAGGAGGGGCATGACAAAGAGACCATCTTATCACAAGCAGAACTGGTTTGTTCCACTTTGGAGTAAGCTGTTGGAGGAAGAATCAGTTTTGTTGTGTTTCCTTGGCTGATGAAGCCTTCTGGATTGAAGAAGAAACGTTTCAGCACAAAAAAAAAAAAAAATTGTCCAGATGACCTGACTGAAAAATGTTGGATTTTCCCTGAATCGTTGCACTCAAACTGAGATCAGCTTCAAGTTTATTTATGATCATTCTCATGAACTACAAAAATATTATTTTGCAAAAGAAGCTTTGAAACTTCTATTTTTGTATAACGTTTGAAAGCTTTCAAAGAGTTTTGTGGACTTGTGGATCTTGAAAAGTGACGTCATAAAACACAACATTCCTATTTTTGTTTAAAACTCCAAACTGGCTAAAACTAATCTCGTGACGGAGAATTAAAAAAAATTAAACAAATGAGTAGAAACAAGAAAGATCCAGAAAACAAAACAGGAAACTAAAGAAGTAAAGATGTTTGGAAAAGTTGAACTAACAGTGAAGCACAAATGAGGAAATAATCTGAAATGAACTTGGAAAAAAATAATATATGGTTGAAAACAAAAAAACAAGCGCCCATGCTTGTAGTTTTTGAGATTAGTTTTTTTTTTAACTTTTTTTCTGGACTGGAATTGAACAGGGAATGCAAGTACAGTAGTCCCTCGTTTATCTCCGTACCCTGCCCCCCCACGATAAGTGAAAAACTGCGAAGTAGGGAGACAGTAGTCCAAGTTCAAGTTCAGTAAACGTTGTCATGACATGTGCCATGCTGCAATCACACTTATCACCTGTTAATCCCAATCTCCCTCCTTAAATACACAATTTAAATATAAATACTGTAACATTTTAAATAAACAATCCATGCAGCATGGATTGTTTATTTAAAATGTTACAGTATTTAAATTGTATAGAAGAGAAGCGCAGTAGGACATGAAAGGGTTAACACGTCAGCAGAAACGTACTTCTTGATCAGTTGCACTGCAACAACTGAACATAGAAGTTCTAAGATAATTAAAAATAACTTAACACTTTTATATTTTGTGATTATGACAATTTTACGATGTGACATACTTTGAATTTTAAGTTGGAAGACAAAAGTTGATCGGTGCATGTGGACATCACTAAGCACTTGTGGGCTAATAATTTTTAAACGAAGAAATAAATAAAGACAAAAAGTTATGACATGCAAGAGACAAAAAGCTGACAAGTTAATCGAATTACATTTCAAACAAAAAAATGCATTTTAAGGCTATAAGACAATAAAAATATGGTGTTAATTTATGATAAAACACTGTAGCTTTGAGCCATAAAGATTGTCCTTTTTTTAAATAAAGCACAGTGACAGAATTAGGCGTTAAATAATCCAACTCCAAACCAAATGACTCAACAGATTAAACATTAATCCAATTAACGAGTTTAATAACTCTTGGTGGGCTCACCGTATGCTGTAGAGCACGTTGCCGTTTTTGGATATGCGCAGCAGCTTGTTGTCGGTGGTGACCTCGTGGAAGTTGGCCCCCTTCTCGTTGGCAAAGAACAAGTCGGGCTTCCAGATGGAGTCCAACATGGATGGATCGAGGTCCAGCGAGTCGTCGGGGTACTCGCTGTACGCCAGCCGGGGGTCGTTCCACTGCTGCCTCAGGAAGATGTTGACTCTGTAGTCCTGCACAAACCAGCGAGAGGTGGAGGTTCAAGAACTACGTGGATAAAAAGAGAATAACTTCTATTCTGATGTTTAATTTAGCGTAATGAGCTCAGGCTGGCTGCAGGCTTGACTTCACGTTAATCTCAGGTGAGTTTAGATTATGTTTCTTCTGTTCTGTAATTCAGTCGTATTTAACGACACAAAAAGAGGCAAATCAGGATTTTTAAAAAACTGTAAAATGGTGCAAAATGACTAAATAAATAAAAAAATCTATTTAGTAAATCCAACTGCCACCTGAAATTGGAGCATCCATCTTTTTTTTTTTTTTCTAGAAAGAGCTCCCTGTGACCCGGGAAAAGAAAATGAATAAAGAAAATGGACAGATGGATTTTATTTTGTATTCATCTTTCTTTATTCATCTAAGATGAGAAACCAGCAGACGTTGTGATGTATAACCGAAGAAGTAGAAAGAAAATCAACATAAAAAAAAAGTTAAAGCTGCTGTCGCTGGCTTAATGAGGGTTACCATGGTAACCACACACCTGAGTCTCAAACTCTTAATAAGGATGAAAGCAAGAGAAAAGCCAGAACTGTGAGTGGCAGAAGCATCTGGTCCTTACAGGTGTCAAATTTTATGTTCCGGCTGCGTTTTATGCAGAAGATACGGCAAATTAAAACGAAGCCTTCATTTCCATTTTGAAGAGAAAATACTGAGCGCCAACACAATGGAAGTAAATGAGAGTTTGGGTGTGCGCAGTGTGCACTTTGTGGGGAATAAGAAGAAAACGATCAGTCCTAGAGAGACTTAGAGACAGACTAATACAAACACCCACGTTATGATGAATAAACTGTAGGAAAAATGTAAAGTTTGTGCGAGGAAGACGACTGTTAGTTTCATCAACTCAAAAGTTTGCGTGACATCATCAGACTTTACGGTGAACATCCTGTTACTGTTAGTTATAAGTAAAATATTAGTTGTTGGTTTTAAGTAAAATATTCCTCCAGTCAACAATGGTGTACCACAAGGCTCAGACTTAGGACCCACCCTCTTTACAATCTACATAGGTTAGGTCAGAGCATCCCTGATGCATCCATACATTTCTATGCTGATGACACAGTTGTTTATTGTTGAGCTAAAACAGCTGCTAAGGTTTTTTAGCTTTTGCAATTCGCTTTCGACATCAGCCAGTCAGATTTGTTCCGTCTCAAACTTGTCTTAAACGCCAACAAAACCAAAGGGATGCTTTTTTTCAAACAGGAAGTTGGTCCCAGCAGTTCTTCCTTTGGTTTTATCCTCAAATGGTGTCCCTGTTGAATTTGTCAATTCCTATAAATATTTGGGTATCTTGGTCGATTTGCATCTCTCTTTTAAGCTCCACGTGTAAAACATAGTAAGGAAATGTATTTATTTATTTATTCATTTTCTTCTTTCGGCTGCTCCCTTCTTCAGGGGTCGCCACAGCGAACTAAGTTGCACGAAAACTTGGCAGGTATTTTTACGCCGGATGCCCTTCCTGAAACAACCACAGACCACCGAGCTACCACAGCTCTCTGTGGGAAAGGAAATTGAAAGTTTTTTTTTTTTTTTTTCCCAGAAATAGATCCTGTCTATCTCTGAATGTTAGGAAACGCCTTGCAACTGCGACTTTCCTTCCCTCCATTGATTACAGTGACATTATTTACATGAATGCTCCTACAAGCACCCTGCAGATGTTGGATGCTGTCTATCACGATGCGCTAAGATTCATAACTGGCTGTAACTGCCGTACCCATCACTGCACCCAGTATTCATTGGTTAACTGGACATCATTAACTTCACGCAGACTCTCCCACTGGCACATTTTCATCTTTAAATCACTTCTTGGTCTGCTGCCTTCATACATCTCCTCCTAGATGTCTCTGCGTGAGTGCAGCTACGGCGTGCGCTCTCAGGACATTATTACCTGCAGTGTTCCCTCAGTGAGGACTGAATTAGGCAAAAGGGCCTTCTCCTACTCCGCTCCTGCTTCCTGGAGTAACTTGCAAAAAGATATGAGGCTCTCGACCTTGACCTCTCTAAGTGGCTTCAAACATCTGCTAAGTTCCTGGGAAAAACCAATGCAGACATGTTTCTGTTTTTAGTTTTCTACACTGCCTTACAACCTAGCTGTTTTTTTTTGTTACATTTTCTTTTAAATATTTTATTTTTCACTAGTTTAAAAAAAAAAAGAAGAAATCTCAATTTGTACGTGTCCTTTATGATTGCCTATTGTTGTCTTTGTTGTCCAATGTTGTCATCACTCTTTGTTAAAACCAGGTCTCTCTTGTAAATGAATCCCTGAGGCTCAATGGGATTAACCTGTAGAAATAAAGGTTGAATGAACGAATGAATTGACTTAACTAACTGTTCATAAAAATTCTCCATACATGAGTTTTTCTCTGATCCACACCTTCCTGGTAGCAGGTTTAAACATAGTTATTTTATTTTAACTTGTTCTTTGATGGGTTAAAATAAAAACGGTTTAGAAATCATTACGCCATTCTTTAAAATTGATCCTTCTGTTGTTCTAAAGGGCTTTTTCTGGGGAATTATCAGCAAAGTTTCTGCAGGACTGTAAACAAACAAGCAAGACAAAAGCAGATAAAGAAAAAACAAGAATGTATTAAAAAAGTTTGTTGATTTGCTTAGGATTAATCAAAAAAGTAATAAAAAAATAAAATCCCAAACAACAATTCCAGCGTCTGCAGCGGGAGCTGCGTTCTCAGAAGGTCCACGCTTTCTGGTTGGAGGAAAATTGATTTAGCAGGAAAATCAAATTACAGCAAAGAAGCCAAAGTTACAAATCGTACATCTTTAAAAAGAGGGATGTACAATTCTACTTGGGGGAGATGTTTTATTAAAGGATGGGGGGTCGTCACAGGTCCATGCACTGCCTACCCCGGACTCTGTAGCTCCAGACATAGAACTGCATCGACAGAAACCCGATGGTGGAGAGGTGGAGTGATGGACAGGGTTTCATGGTTGGATGACAGAAGGTTTCAAGACTTTCTCTGCATCATTTTCTCCATTATGTGAACATGTTGGATATTTTACTGATTGTACAAACGAGTTTCCATCTTGGCCTCCATCGGAGACCTTTACCCAGCCCGAAGGCCAGTGAGGCGACTCAGAGCCTCCTTAGCTTCAAATAAATCTTTCAGATTTTATTTTTGAAGCCCTCACGTTCAATATTGTTTGTCTAATAAACAAACAAATAACAAAAGATGCACTTTTTTGCAGATTTGCCTTCACAAAAAACAAATACAACACAACAAAAACCTCTGGTTGGCAAAACTAAAAGCAGATGAACGAGTCCTGCTAGCTGAAGGTCATTTAGCTGCTGCCTCTAAAACAGGACCCCCAGGTCCAGGTCTGGACCCAAATAAAGTCTAATCTTGATTCAGGTCTGTTCTTAAATTTCAATAGAATTTAAATCATTTGTACACAGCTATGTTTCATCTTTGTATTTGCCAACATTTTCCAGTTAACTCATTTTACGAGGCACAGCTTCTCTAATATTCACGGTAAATTATCTGATGAGGCGCAGCTTTTGTAATATTTACAGTAAATTATTTGATAAGGCACAGCTTTTACAATATTTACAATAAATTATTCAATGATGCAGTTAGAGAGAACATGAAGGTAGTTGGAGTGAGGACAGAGGATGCAGAGGACCGAGTGACGTGGAGGAGGAGGACTCGCTGTGGCGACCCCTGAAGAGGGAAAAGCCGAAAGAAGACGAAGAAGAAGATTCACTGAGGCACAGCTTTTATAATATTTACAGTAAATTATTTGATGTGGCACAGCTTTTATAATATTTACAATAAATTACTTGATGACGCACAGCTTTTATAATAGTTACAGTAAATTATTTGATGTGGCACAGCTTTTATAATAGTTACAGTAAATTATTTGATGTGGCACAGCTTTTATAATAGTTACAGTAAATTATTTGATAAGGCGCAGCTTTTATAATAGTTACAGTAAATTATTCAACGAGGCACAGCTTTTATAATAGTTACATTAAATTATTTGATGTGGCGCATCTTTTTAATATTTACGGTAATTTCCAGATTTGAGCTGTGGTTTCTCTCTGCTCTCAGAGACGTACGGACCTGAGAAGACAACACGAGTGGAAAAAAAACAGCTGAAACTTTTGCTAGAGAAAGATTTCTTTAGACAGACCTGGTTGAATTTAAGATGAAAACTGCTGCTCTAATGTTTCAGAAACACAGCAGGTCAACACAAAGAGAAAAATCTATAAAGAAGAAGGTAATTTAATAAAGTTTTAACTTGCAGTTTAAAAAAGATAAAATGTGAGTTGGCTGCTGAAGAATATTCTTCAAAATAAATAAGTCTGTAAATCTATAAATGGTGTTTAAAAATGAGGAAATTAAACATTTGGTTTGCACACACAGTTTGTTTTAGAAAACATATTTTCTGAGAACGAATGCTGTGCAAAACATTTAAGCCTGCACTCATTTGTCCCACTATCAGTTAAGGTTATCAACAAAGAAATAAAATCTTAGTATTCAGTAAAATATGCAACATATGTACGGCTAATTCTGCATATTTTTTTATAGAGTTAGCATCTTAGTACTAGTAGTAATGTATGTACTTAGACTTCAGGGGTATCTGAGGCAGGCTTGAAACACAAGAGTCAGGGTGGCTTCTGGGTAATACCAGATGGCTAGGCCTCAGACTGACGAAGCCTCTTGGATGGGGGCGAAACGTTTCTTTTTAACAAAAAAAACGAAGTCCAGATGACATGATTCAACCTTTTTTGTTGTTATATACCTGGATGACTGAGAAAACAAACTTTGTATCTTAGTACTTTGTTTTTCAACTGTTTATTTTTATCATGATTTTACTGTTACCATTCCATTTACCTTGTTGTTCTTGGTGGTTTAATTTTCTCGAATGTTTCTGTGCAGCGGTGCTTTTTAATCCAAGGCTGACAAATAAAAAACATCAGATTTTGCTTTACAAAACACAACTT